CACTGGAACAGGTTGCCCAGAGAGGTAGTGGAGGCCCCGTCTGTGGAAACATTGAAGGTCAGGCTGGATGGGGCTCTGAGCAACCTGATGTAGTTAAAGCTGTCCCTGCTCACTGCAGGGGGGTTGGGCTGGATGACCTCTAAAGGTCCCGTCCAACCCAAAGCATTCTGTGATTCTGTCCTGGTTTAGCCCCAGCCAGCAACTAAGCACCACACAGCCGCTTGCTCACTCCCCCTACCCCGATGGGATGGGGGAGAGAATCGGAGGAATAAGAGTGAGAAACACTCCTGGGTTGAGATAAGAACAGTTTAATAATTGAAATAAAGTAAAATAGTAATGATAATAATAACAATATCATAATGATAATAACAATAATATACAAAGCAAGTGATGCACAATGCAATTGCTCACCACCCACCGACCGATACCCAGCCAGTTCCCAAGCAGCGATCGCTGCTCCCTGGCCAACCCCCCCCAGTTTCTATACTGAGCATGACATCATATGGTATGGAATAGCCCTTTGGTCAGTTTGCATCAACTATTCTGGCTGTGCCCCCTCCCAGTTTCTTGTGCACCTGGCAGAGCATGGGAAGCTGAAAAGTCCTTGACTAGCATAAGCAGTACTTAGCAACAACTAAAAACATCAGTGTGTTATCAACATTCTTCTCCTACTAAATCCAAAACACAGCACTATGCCTGCTACTAGGAAGAAAATTAACTCTATCCCAGCCAAAACCAGGACAGATTCTAAGTTTATTTGGTTCAGACTTTTAGCTCCTTCGTTGCTGGTATATCACTCATTCGGAAAAAAAGCAGAACAGCATCTTTGCTCAGTTCACATCCTCAGGTGGCAATGCTACAAAAAAGTTAAGGAAGGTTTGTATTTCTTTGGGTATGCTGGGTACCCAGATCCCCTTAATTCACTGTGGAGTACATTTGAAGAACTTGTACTAGCTGGATTTCTACCAGCTCTAACACTGGCAACCTCTACCCATTGCACATTGGACTTCCCACAGAAGCTGCTCTCAAGAGTAGGGCTGAACTGTCTGGGACTTGGTAGAACTCAGGACACAGTGGTGTCAGAAGCAATTCCCCCAGTTCAATACTTGTTCCCACTATAAATCTGGTTTGTAAAATGGCTTCCAAATGCTTCTTGAAATGGAATTATTATTTCATATTTTAAGTGAGCAGACCTTTTTCTTTTATTATAGTGAACTAGTTACAGGGTTATGTGAGTATTAGTGCTCCATAGCCTTCTAACCAGATGGTATTAGTTGCTTGACTGAGCACCAGTGTTATTGCTGAGTGATGTTGAAGTGGTTTGCCCACAATCACCCAGTAACTCTATGAAGATTCAGCCCAGTGGTCTATGCACTAAACCATATAACTTTTCATTATTTGCTCAATACTTTTGCCAGATTTTAGCTACTTGGTCTAGAATTTTCCTTCCTTAGTATCTGCCTGAAGAGGTAAGTGTCATCTTTTTCCAGGAACAAGATCAAGAAACATGCATTGCTTTTCCTATATAGATTTTAAATGAATAAAATAATTCTTACAAGCCTTGTGAGAAATTCTTCTGCTCTGGGATATGGAGGCATTGTTGAAATTCAGGAGAGGATCTTCCTTGAGTCATGGACATATTTTATTCTTCTGCCCCCCACCTAGATATTGTAATATGCCAGTTGTTACAAGTTTCAAACAACCATATGCGAAGTTTGGTTGCTAAATGATTTTCACTTTTCTTCTGCTGTAGGTTTGCAGTTTCAGAGTTGTAAGAATGAGGGCACTTGCCCTGCAATTTTGGGAGATGTTGGTAAATAGACACTAGGGAGAGTGTGGAGGCTCTTTGTTGTTAACTGTGCTCTTCCTTTTGGTGCCAAAGACGATTCCTGTGCAACAGAACAAAAATTTGACACAAGGAAACAGGATAGAAAGGATTAGAGGAATAGGAAGCCAGTGGGAATGGGAAGGGAATCTGGGAAGTGACTATGGGGAAATACTGACTGCTGAGAACTGAGAAGGGAGGAAAAAACATTAGTTAAATGGGAGACTAGGACTTAGGAGTGAAGAAGCTGAGAGTGAAAGAAAGAAATAAAAGGAGAAGAGATTTGGGTTTGACAGGCCATGGAGGATTGGACATCTCAACTTCTGAGGTGAGTCTAGGAGGCAGGGGATGATAGGCATAAAACTGCAGCTGAGGTGTAAGCGTGGGAAGAGGGAACAAGTTTGTACAGCGAAGAAACTGGGATAAGCCAGGGAATGTGGAGTGGGTGTGAAGAGGGAAGACCGTGCTCTGTTTAGAACAGGAGAAGAATCAGTTCTGATCACTAAAGGAGAGTCACCAAATGTCATTCAAAACAAAAACCTGGAATAAAAGCTCCATAATCACCACCTTCAAACTCTTCAGCTACACTGGCAATAATTAGTCCTCTTCCTTGTTCCCCTCTGGGGCTCATAATTTTCTTAACTTTCCCTTTGCTTATAGCCTGCTCTGCAGGTGCCAGCAATTCCTGTCTTTCAAAGTGTCTTTCATTAACGTAGTTCAGTTGAATTCAGAACAGTTGTTCATAACCCATACCTTCTGGTACAAGAGCTGAAAAGAATTTGTATGCGTTCAGTTGGTCTCTTTCTTTCCTGAAGTATAAAAATTGTTCTTATGAAGTTATTACCGAGCCTTAGAAACTTCGCTTTGCAAGAAATACTTGTTCCTCTGAGTGCTTTCAATGTTGTTTGCTGGTTTGTTTTTGCACAGGGTTGACAACAGAGTGGGATTTTTCATGTTTTCTGCTGTTTTGTGAGATTGAATGGGGGAGGTTGGTAGGATGGTTATGATGATTATTATTTTTTCTCTTGGGAATATATTAAAAGATAGAACATGGATAAATGGAGCCTCAAGGGTGACTCATGTTTTTGTTTAGCTTGAACTAGGTCCAGCTTCTAAGAGGAACTTGATTTTTAGGTACATGTTTTTGCAAAGTGTTTTAAACTGAAGTTATAATTCCAGAGGTCTCAATAGCATGTGTTTGTTTTTATTTAGGAACATGTGTAAGGAATGTTTTTGGTGGATGAATGTAAAATAAATAGAACTATCTCAATCTGGAGGTTGCAATTCTTTGGCATATTCAACGTCAGCAAAAATCAAGTGGAAGAATGTTATTTAGAGAATGGACTCGGTTAATTTTTATGATTTACTTTGTAATTTACTTTGTAATTCTGCTTGTTTGGAAGGTGGCTAAAATTTGTTTTCAACATGAGCCACTGCCTGCTTGTCTTTGGGTAACACAAATTCAGAAAGTACTTTTCATCAAAACAGCATACTGTTACCATATGAATTGTCACTGAGTGTATAACTGTGACACCTTCATGCCATTGCTTCTATAATGTTGTTCAAAGTGTGGTTCTAATTTTTTTGCACTATAAATTCTTAGTAAAAATCACTTGTAACTCAGTTTTTATTAAAAAAAAAAGAACAAAACCAACAAACCAAAAAAACCAAAAAAACCTTGCTCTCATATGCAATGTGAATATCTTAGCTTGTGAATACTTTTACATTTGTCTGCAAAGCAATTGATGACATTCATTTATAAGTTGTTAGCGGAATGAACAAAGTCAGGGCTTCACTTGGTTTTTTTGTTTGTTTTAGGGGATTTGATCTTATGTTTTATAAATGACTGTTCACTGAGAAAGTATTTGTAGTGCTTTATTCATACGGTTGTAATTTACCTTTTGAATATAATAGATAAGGTTAGAGTAAGTGTAATAATGTAATATATTTTAAAAATGTAGCTTAATGGATATTTCAATAACTGTACTGTAATGAAAAGGAATTTCAACATTTGAACCTAGTTTGTAAATTAAACTATAAATGCCCCTCTGGTAACTTAGAGAGCGTAGGTGCTTTTGTCCTAGTCAGCTGCATACTAGGGGCATACACGTTATCTGTATTTCAGTATACTTAGGTATCTGTAGAACACAACACAAAAAAAAAAAAAAAGAGTAAAATTTGCAGAATAAGGAATATTTATTATGCTGCCTGCATCTACCTGTGAGAGATGAGAGGAATTTGACCACACAATTCTCACTAGAATTAATAGGCATTATATGATTTGATCCACAGCCCCTGTCATGAAATGTCCCTGGTGCAAATTTCATCATATGATGAGTGATTGTGTTCTGTCTACTGATTTGTTGCTGGTTTTGAATGATAAGGGTGTTGCAGAGTTAATGTTTGGACTGTATGTTCTGCAATACATTTTTGTACTAATTCTGAAATGTGGTTTTTTTGCAGGGATATTAAACCAGACAACATTTTGATGGATATGAACGGACATATTCGATTAGCAGATTTTGGTTCTTGTCTGAAACTGATGGAAGATGGAACGGTAAATTAGAAAGAATGATATATTTCTAAACACCTTTTCTTCAGTCCTTTGCTAGCTGCTAAAATGCGTGCTAATAAAAAGAAAAGGTGCCTTATGTCAAATAAAATGGAATTGTAATGGTATTGGTATGTAACTAACCTCGGTTCAAAATAGACTCTGCTTTGCTTGGATTTACAGTATAAAAAGCTTTTTATATGCATATAGTCAACTCATGAATAAAGAGAAGCTGCACTATCGGTAACTTAGTAGGTATTTGTTGGTTGAACTATGAATCTCTTCAGTTTTGAGCTCTGAGCTCTAATCTTGATTGAAAATGTCAGCTTTAGTATAAGCAGGATGAGATACAATTAGCATATAATCATATTTTAGTAGTATATTTAAACATGCACAGCATATAGTAGGTGTGACTAGAATGCAATTCCAGTGTGTTAGTCATGTCCCAGAGTGTTACAAAGATTTGAGTTAATATGTGTGATTACCTAATCTATAATTACTTAACAACTCTGAGCCTAAGAATTGACAGTTTTGTTCTTTCTCTGTTATTAAATATTTCTAAGAGTTGAGCAAACATATGTTATTGGGATGCCTATTAATGTAGTACCTTGGATGCTTACACATTTCTTTATGAATTTAGAAGCCTTTTAATTGTGCTAAGTTGTTACTGTTATAACCAGAACACTGGGCTAAATTTATATATACATGCACAGTGCCGCAAACAGCAGTGTCTGTAACGATGGAAGTTGATTTTAGTCCTGGAAATGTAACTTCTACAGGTCCAATCTTCAGTGGCAGTTGGAACACCAGACTACATCTCTCCAGAAATCTTGCAGGCCATGGAAGATGGAAAAGGGAAGTATGGGCCCGAGTGTGACTGGTGGTCCCTAGGCGTTTGCATGTATGAAATGCTTTATGGAGAAACACCCTTTTATGCTGAGTCCTTGGTGGAGACCTATGGGAAAATAATGAACCACAAAGTTAGTGCACTTTCTCTTTCTGTCTCTCTCTAAGCTAATTTTTAATAAGCAATAGGGTAACTTGGAGGCTTATTTAAAAATGAGGTTTTGTGTACTAATCATGTTAATGTTCATAAACGTAGAACAAAAAATATGTTTCCATATAGTGAGTTTACGGTTATGTATTGCAGATGGCTTTGCTTTAGGATAAAGCAGTGCAAAACTAAAAATCTGGATTTAGAAGCATGGCTATTAGGTCACTCTATGGAGTAAATCTTGGCTGCGTTACATCACTCCTTTTGTGTTACTTTCTTCTGGCGGGATCCATTGGTTGGCTTATGCAGAAGATTCTTAAATGTTCTTCCACATGGAGGTAGCTGTAGAATTCAACAGTGTAGGAGAAATTTAAATAAAGAAGAAAAACTAGGAGACAAAAAAATTTTGATAGTTTCTATCCTTTGGGGAAGTCTTTTTCCTAGAAACCTTATTGCATATATTTAAGAACCAGAGTGTTTGCACACTTCTTTTTCTGCTTAATAGTTTTCACTAAGAGGCTTGATTTTTCCACCTTTTTCTTGGTAATAAACTATTTTCTCTTATTTTAATCTTTAAGGAGAGGTTTCAGTTTCCTGCTCAAGTGACAGATGTCTCTGAAAGTGCAAAGGACCTCATCCGAAGGCTCATTTGTAGCAGAGAGCATCGACTTGGACAAAATGGGATAGAAGACTTTAAGAACCATCCATTTTTTGCTGGGATTGACTGGGACAACATTAGAAACTGTGAGGCACCTTACATCCCAGAAGTCAGCAGCCCCACTGATACATCAAACTTCGATGTGGATGATGACTGCTTAAAAAATTCTGTAAGTATAGTATTAACATTTTGACAAATCTGCTTTTGTAGTATACTTTACAACAAAACATATGTAAATGGCAGTTTATTTCAGTGTGTTCACTGTGTTCTGCATAAAAACCAAAGTGCTGCTGTGAAGAACTGTGGGGGAAATACATGCATAGTTCAGAGGCTGTTCCTCCAAACGTATACGTGTAAGGATAACTTCAGTTCAGTTTTGTAAATTCATTGTAACTTTACATGTGTTTAACTAACACATACATCTGTTATTTGCAGTAACAAGTTCTTAGTGTCCAAGCCTTGTAAAGAATAATATATTTACACATAGATAGTCTGCAAGACACAGTATTTGTAGCAGAGCATTGTTAAGATGTATGAAGTTTGCATAATGCATTTTATTGTAGTGCTCTAATCTAATTGCTTATATCTCTGTCAGATTCCATTCAGTTCATTCCCACTAAAATTTGTCCAGCTTGTTTTCTGACTTGAGTTGAGTTTTGGGAAATTTAGGGGAAATGTTACAGCCGTTTCTTCAGCAACAGTCTTAGTGAGAAAGAAATTATTTTGCCTTTGCTTAAACAGCTTTGCATATAACTGTTGATTTTTAACAACCTTAGTGTTTCTGTGCTTTTTGAACAGGAGCTTTCATGGGTATTAGAGGTCATAGCATCAGAGGAATGCCTTGTGTTGTCTCCTTGGAAATACTTTTTTTTTTTTTTCGTGTTTTTTGAAAGATGCAGGAACACGCTGTTTACATGTGAGGGTGAAGCATTTTCACCATTTTTGCTTTTGTTTTCTGAACTGCCTGTGCATCTCAGTTCTGCTGAACTTCCTGGACCTGCAGATAAGCTATAGGCAACATGAATTGATAGAGGCGAGATGATCGTTATTTGCATTCCCTTTCCTCCAACTGCACAGTAAAACACGGAAAACACTTTGACTAGATGAAATCCAGTGATAGACATATGTGGTGTGGAGCGTGGGGTCTCAGAGTCCTTTCATATAGGCAAATTAACCAAATCAGTCTAGCTGCATAAGACAACTCGCGTTTTTTCATCTCTTCCTCAGTTTTTCCTCACTTGCATCTGGTATTGCACATTTCCCTTCACAACTAAAGTATTTCAATCTTAAAACTTTTCTATACAGTCCTGAGATACCTGATTGCACATTATTTTGTCCAGGAACAGCTGTCGGGGTTGGGTGGCAGGAATGGATGCTGTGTGTAGCAACTTTTTGTGAAGCTATCTTTGTGAAGCTGAAATACCTTTTGGAGGTTATGCACACATTCTAATGTTGGCCAGTCCAGGAGTCTTCCTTTTTAGAGCCTAATCTCCCAACCGAGGCACTCAAAAGGTGCCTGTGCAGTGTGAATGTTTTCCAATTGTAAAGAAGCAGGGAACTGCAGGTGAAGAAACAGTGCTCCTGTGATGAGTTATTGGACTCAGACATGAAAACAGAGTCCAATTCTTAATTTGCTTTAGACTTTTGAGGGTGAAAAGTAATGCCATTGAACTGTTTGAGATGAACACTAGTTTCTGGAGCTTCATTTTCGGGTTCCTCATTTGAAACACGTGAAGGTAGTTTTTTTGTTTTGTTTCATATAAGGTTATATTTTTACCATTTCTTTTTGCACCTAGCATCTCTGAAAAAAAAACTAGCCTGTGGTGTTGCATGACTGAGAGTATTTTACACTTTTGCTTCAACTAGTGGACATTGTATTTAATATTGCTTCCCCTCCAATTCTTAAATGTAATTTAGAGGTGTTTTCCCTGCCATCTTTCATACACATCTTGTGAAGAAAGTTCACATACTTGCATTACGATTACAGAAGTTAGCAACACAGATAAGCCCATGAGACTTTTTTTTTTTCTTTTAAATTCTTTGCAAGGTTTGAATGGCATACAGCAAATGAGGAATGCCCAGTGCTGAAGATAAAGGCAACGTTGAAGTCATGATTGTTATTGTTCTGCCTGAACAGTTTTGTTCTGCCTGAATGAGACTGTGGTCCCATGGAAAGATTATATATGTAATAATGAAATTCAAACAGTATGTTAAAAGTACATGTAAACACAAGGGCAAAACAGTGTTCTTAGGCAGCCTAAGTTCTGCAGGTTTTTAGCTTTTAACTGTTTGGTTTAGTAGCCTTACTGATAGGCATGATAGGCGTAGATTCAGTTACAATTTTTTCGATGTGATAATACAGTTGAATTCACACAAGCAGCAGGAAATAAGTATTTTGATCTCTGCCAAAGAATCAGCAACAAAACAAATTCTTTTACAAAATCTTATATTGTTATCAATAGATATGATATTTTAGAACAAACATTGTTACCTGTGTGGTAACTGAAAACTGTTATATAGGCTGCTAAAAATCACACAATTATGCATTTGGTCTTTTTAAAAGTTATTCATAAAGATGGTTTTGAAACCTGAATCTATGAAATATGAAAATAAAATATAAAGGAGAAGTAAAGAATTTCACTTTTCCTAACCATAGTGTTTAATAATTGATACTTTTATTATCAGTTAGTAGAAAGTTAAAGCTTTGTAATTCAGTCTTGTCCTTAGTTTCCAAAAAGCCCAACAATGTAGACTTGATGTACTTACACAGTCTAGCCATGTCATTGGTGTTGCTTTTTATTCTGGGAGCTCTCTTTTGATGTGAAGATTTTAGTCTGCTAAAAGGTCAAGGTTGTGATGTAATATAGCTGATGCCACCACTGAAAAGGTAATTTTGGATTTCTTTTGAATACAGGCTTGTTCTCTCCTGCTGCAGTTTACATGTAAAAATGTACAACTGGTTCCTTTTTTTGTTTGTTTGTTTGAAAAAAATCATTAAATTTTCTTAAAATTTAGAACCTTTTAGCACTTTCGGTGTGATAATCATCATCTTAGGGACTTTCTTTTGATGACCATTAAGGCCATCTCTAGTATAGCAACATAAACCTTGCATCTTGGGGTTAAACAGGAAACTTTTAACAGGATATTTAGGAATATTAGAACTTATAATGATTTGAATAATATAGCAACAGGGTTATTTTAGCCTGAGGAGAAGCTCAAAGATTTGTCTTGGTTTGTAGTTTTTTGTCTGGCAGGAAAAAGGAGCAATGAAGGAAGAAATGGTCAAAGCACTAACGGGACTAGAAGACCCTGTTGTAGCACTTATTTCTAGTAAATGTCTGACTATTGTTCTCTCCAAATAGAGATAGCCCGGTCAGAAGTGGGGTTGGTAAATCTACAAGCAGGAAGCCCTGCTGACTAAATAGCAGAGAGGAATATAGGAGGGAATAAAAGGTGATACTTTTTGTGCTAAGAGCTTCTTGGGAAAAAGAAGGAATAAATTGACTTTTAATAAGTGTAATATTCTGCTTTCCTCCAACAATCGCCTATTTAATTACAAAAGCACTTTTATGCCAGCATGCTGTATTTTTGTATATTGCATGCCATTATAAATAGATGTAGGTGATGCCATTTCATATTTGTGTTGTAGATAAGGATGACTGTGAATATAGTTAATGTGATATTATCACTAACACTTCACATATGGTTAAACTTGAAAATCATTTTCTTTTAAGTCCAGTCGGATATTACTTACTCAACTGTCCTATTATTTTTCTAGGAAACGATGCCTCCACCATCACACACTGCATTTTCTGGCCATCATTTGCCATTTGTGGGTTTCACATATACAAGTAGCTGGTAAGTTAAGAGTTCCAAAATTGTCTGTAGGATAGTTACACGATTGCTTAAGTTTCTGTCTCTGAAACCAACTGCAAGCAGATACCAAAGAATGTGGTTTATTGAGGAAATTACTACACCATAATCTAAAACACTGCCTGTCCAAAAGAATGAGCTCTCTGCAGGTAAAATTTACATTAATTTAAAGGTCAGCACGTGTTCATACATTGTCAGGAAATCACCTTTCTCATGAAAACTCCTCTGAAGTTAACTGCATATGACAAAGTTAAGACCAGATGTATGGACCCAGAGAGAGCTTAGCTTATTGGACTTTATAAACTGTTTTATTTCCAGTCCTTTGACACTCTTGTAAGTCTGAATGGAAATTTTTAAAAATTGCCTTTATTGATATTTGGTATTAATGTGGTATTTAGCAGTAGAGATGAACATGACAAATTAAACAGTAACAAGGAGGTCCATGTATGCTCCCTGACCATTTATGAAAATAAATAAATAAAGAATGTGTACAACCATTGAAAAACCAGGCCTCTTTCTGCAAACACATGTGCTTAATGCTGGTATATGACATGTCCTGTAGACTTCAAAAGGATTGCTTGCATAAGTGGTAGTATGTGTACATAAGTATCGACAGAATCAGGGCCACAACATTTCTGATATGTACGTGCCCTAGTTGTCATGTGATAACTTCACGCTGTTTATTGTGATTCTTGTTTCTAAAGTATTTGGGAAACTTGATTAATTATTTTAAAATAAACTGTTACTATAATCTTACCATCTAGATTGTTGCTTTTTGCTATCTGGATAGAGTAGACTGTCCATAATGATAATTTTTAATGAGGAGTTCATTCACTTTTATGTAACAAAAAATGCATTGAGGAAATCAGTCATGCTAGATAAAAATTAATTCAAATTTTAATGGGCACATACTAACAATGTATTATTTGACTGTATAATAAATTATAGTAATTAACAATTTAAACAACTATTTGTTGGTCGATATAATTTTTTTAACATTATTTTAAACACAGCCTGTTGCCAAATCCAATACTGTTTAATTTTTTTCCCCCAGTGTGCTTTCAGACCGTAGCTGTCTAAGACTGACAGCTGGACCACCCTCCATGGATCTTGATGCCAGCATTCAAAGAACTTTGGAGGATAGTTTAGCAACAGAAGCTTATGAGAGGAGAATAAGACGTCTAGAACAGGAAAAGCTTGAACTTAGTAGAAAACTGCAAGGTATAGTCGTTAAAAAATACCATTCAATCACTTTTTTGACTTAGATTAGCTTTCAGCTTTGTAAGGCATGGTTTATACTGTGGAAAAAAAAATATACCTTCTGGAATGCTTTCTAGCAGAAAAGAATTCTCTTCATTATTTCCGTTGACAAATTAAACTTCTGTTACTCTTTATGCCTGAAATATCCCACGTATGCAACTTCTTATAACATGCTAACTTTGTTCACACCATGCCTTGGTTACTATGGCATAAAGATTTCATTCTTAAAACTTCTAAGAACTTAGTTTGTCTAGCTGAGAATTACTGAAAAATTGTCACTTAGTAGTTGGAAAATTTAAAATTATAGAATCCTCAGTGGAGGGGCTTTTTGGTATGTCTTAATTTATCAGTGATATCTTTTTGACCTCCTCAGATGTCAGGCATGTAATTTGTCCCTCTCGTTTCCATCTTCTTCTAGAGTCCACCCAGACAGTCCAGGCTCTGCAGTATTCAACAGTGGATGGCCCAATAACAGCAAGCAAAGATTTAGAAATTAAAAGCTTGAAAGAAGAAATTGAAAAGTTGAAGAAACAGGTAACAGGTATGTTATAAATATTAATGTAAAAACTGTAACGGGAAACAATATTTTGACAAGAGTTTTTTCTTGTAATGTTAGTTTTACTTTGCTTTCTAAAAGAGTCTTCCGGTCTATTTTTACTTCTCATTTTGCCCTTCACTGGTACCTCAACATTTTCTACAAATTCAACTTAATATTCAGTACTTCAGTAATTCCAGTTGCAAGGGAGAAGGAAGATTTCAATGACTTCTGCTATTATTATTAGTGTTAAAAGTTTCACTAGTTCTAAATTGCGTTGTTGCTAATTTGCATGGATGCAAATCAGGCTCTACCTGAGAATCTGTGAAACCATGACCAATTTTTCCAGATGCAGCGCCTGTTTGGTTATTTTTGGCAGTACCAAAAGTCACTGCAGTTCCTTCAGAAGTTGTAGTCACTGTAGCATACCTTAGTATTCCTTGCTTTGTACCTCTCTGCACTCTGGTATCCAGGTACATAGGTAGTAAACTGGAAGGAAGGAAAGTGTTTCTTGTTTACGTGAGTAAACATGAGAGGGGAAGACTTTAGTCTAGCAGTTTTAATAGTCTCAAAAATATTTGATGCAAGGGTGATTTGTTATGATTTAAGCATCAATTGATATTCTTCATTGTCTCATTTTCTGTTGAATTTTCCTTGGAAGGGCCAAATTTGTGAGATGTGATCACAGTTTTGATTATATTTTCTTTGAAACCACAGGGATTTATAGTGAGCTGTTGCTTAATGCATTATGACTGGATGTGGAATAAAAGCTAGCTCAAACTGGAGATGCGGTTTTCTGAGTATTTTCTCAGAACAGTACTCAGAAAAGTGTTGGGTTATTTGGGAGGTGGGCTGTGTGCATGAAACTACAGTGATATTGAATTTTCCAAGTGGCAGGGAGTAGTGAAGGGTGTTTTCTGTGAGAGAGTACACTATGGGCTATAAGGCTGCAGTTCTATGAGCAGCAGAACTGACCGAACAAAACTCTGCCATCAAAATGGGTCCTGCTCACAGCTGTGCGGCCCCTCCTCTTTCTGTGCATGCCCCGGACTCTCTCCTGAGTTTAATTCACTCAATTAAACAAGGAAAGAACTATCTAGACATAGAGAATTTAATCAACTCATGATCTGATGATTCAGCACAAGCTGGGCAATAGGAGCATATGCGGAAAGGGAGATGAGAGGGGGAAGAACCACCTGTCAGCTCTGTCAATGGGCTATCATTTCATACAAAACTGGACATTTATTTCCTTTCCATTTAATTCCTTTGCTTCCGAGAGTTCATGAAGATTTTATGATAACTAAAAATTTGGCTATCAAGTATCTCAGTACTTTAAGTTTGAAAAGTGTGTTTGAAATCTGTGCAGATAAAGAGCTGAATTTCTTTAATTAATGTCATGCTGCCTTTCTTTAGAACTCTCAAACTAGTCAAAAAGCAAAGATCTACTTAGCCCAGTATCCTGTGTCTTTACAGAGGCTACTGGAGACTTTTAGGGAAAG